TACACACCACTTCTATGCTGTATCTTCTCATATCTTTGGCTATCTGAGTAGCCATCCTAGTCTCGTACATTGTACGAGCATTCCACGTCCCCATTCTTATTCCCCATTGTTTTCATTGAGAGAAGACAGATCATCTAGTTGACTGACTTTCCAAAGTCTTTCACCAGCCCTCTATGGCATTTCAGCTCTCACCGATTCCAGCGAGGAGTAAGTTTGTTTATCATAGTTATTCTGTATTTTTATTACTTTTCTTCCACCATGAAGTTTTCGTTGCAGTTTGATTGGCTTTTTGGATTAGGCTCTCTGGCCCCACGCACAACCCTCCATCTTTACTCGAGATTGGGACAGGATAGTCAAATGTCGAGCTGAAAAACTAAGCGAAGTTGGAACAGACATTATTTGGAATATATTCGAGGAAATTATGAGGAGTATATAATTGCTTTCTTTGGTAAAATACAAATATATATATATATATACATATATATATATAATAACTTATCATCAAATAATAGGGACGAGATCACTAATTCTTGTTCCCATGTAGTAATATATTCGTCAGAAGGTATTAGTTCAGTAAGATATAGTCAATTTTTGAGTAGAACTAAATTAAATGCGACACTGTCTACATATCTCTTCAGCCAGTGGAATCGTCCCTCTGACACGAGTGGGACTTCATTTAGTTCCATTTCTACATAAATCTTTCTGCGGACTGCTTCAAGGTGGCTGAGTGGGTTTTAAACTCCATCTTGTCTCACAAACACGTAAGCGTAATGCACCAATTTTCAGGCGCCTTATACCTGTTTGACTTGATATCACGAACACAGATATGCCAAAGTGCTCATATTCACTCTCAACTGTTGTGCAAAGGTATTCACATTAGCTGGAACTTCACTTGATGGACTGAACACTCTCCAGGCAGTTGCAAAGTAGTTCTGTAAACTGACTTCATTAGGTATTACTCGATTTCGTATCCAATTGTTGAACGTTTCCCATAGAATCCAGGTGGTTCTGTTAGCTGTTGATATGAATAAATTTCGATTGGATTCATTCTTCCATGGTGATCATTCTAGGCATGCTGTAATCGGAGATCGAATTGTAGATAGTTCAACAGTTTCAGCTGCTGCATCAGTTGCTGGAATGACCACTGGTCATCATTTTACAGCGATCAGAACATCCTGAGAGATATGTGAAATCATTAAATGGTGTTTGTAGTAACACTGTGACAACTTGTAAATAGTATCTAATATAAGGATCTGGATACTTCATCTCTGATATTCTAAACAAGCTCAGATACACAATCTAAGCTTTCAATTTATATGCGGTCAGATAAACCAGTCACTTAACGGTTTTACTGTCACTAGAAATTCAGGTCGAGATATGACAAGTATTTCCGAAGAGACTTCTCGCTTAATCTGTGATGGCATGAAGTGGTACATACTTTCATACATATATATGGCATGTGACAGATACACAGTCATCTGATTCAGCCTCTTGAAAACGACTGGAAACGTTTGGCTTATTTGAGACTTTTGGTTCTTCGTTTGTCGCCTGTGAATGGCCGAACTTGAGAAAGTCAATCTAATCTCTATTTAAGGAAATTCCTATAGCGAAACTTCATGCTTAAAGGTGATGTCTAGATTACTTACAACCAGGCTGAAATATCTGAGATGGTGTCTCCGTGTCACTACAGGAAGCAAATGTTATATGGAGGCATCAACCTCTTGTCTTACAACTGTTAACCGATCAGTTTCTGTTTTCTTTGCGACCTTCTGCACTTGTGTTAGCATTCTTTCGTGAATTGAACCGGTGATGTCAGCTAATCCATCTATGCCCACATCAACATCACCCAAAGTCGGTGTGTATTCTTAGGCCTTTACTCTCAGCCACAGTTAACAGAATCCTCTCACTCTCCCAGTAGGTTCTTCTTGTTTACGTTTGGTTGAGACGAAGTGCTATCATCCAAGTGTACGTCAGTAAGGAGTTAGTCGATAGAGGGTTGGTCCAACAAGAATATTAGTTGTATTGCTTCTTGCTTCAGCAAATTCTACGAGAATTCAGGACGAGGTTTCATAAGAAGGTTATCCACAAGAAGGTTCCGTGACCATACTACTCTGGTGTAGTAAATAGCTGGCATATCTGAACTTAACATTTGTAGAACTAGTGTCATTAGCAAGCCAATCATTTCCCAGTCGACTGAACCACAGGTGAGGGTGGGTTGATTTGAAAGACGGAACAAACAGATTAATGGCACTCACAAACACAGAATTATAACGATGTCTGATTTGGATCACTTACAAAGGCTCAAGTGAAAACTGTCTAGGATAGAATGATAAAATCGAAATACCAGAACACATTTGCACGGAACTGTAGAAGGGTTAGACACCTATCGAATGACAAACATCGGAATAGCTCAGTAAATGAATATCCAACTGGCAGTAAATCAATTTCAGTAATAATATAATCCACAAGATATATACGGTCGCTTAATCTAGAGGAAGAAACTTCCACACGAACTCACATATTTGGGGGGATTTCCTATCGGGTCACAATGTGAGTATTACATGCTGAGAAGAATTTTACAGTCTTTAGCACACCACGTTAAGTCAGACAGTGTAAAATCAGCATGCAATCACAAGTTTCGACAGGGCTTTGGTAATGATGACACAAGAAGTCGAAAGCGGCTGGTGAAGCGATTCAATTGTATTTGGTTAAATTATCTGGCACACATAGAATATGGTGGCAACCAAAGTGCTTCTATAAAGCTTTACTGAATTAACCAATGTAACTGGCATAAACTACTAGTGATCGCCCTTATTGTTAGAAGACGATATGACCAACAGTTTACTGAGAAAACTTCAGAAGTCCTACCGAGATTCCTCTGTTTCACCACCCTATGACAAAGAAACAACTTCGTGTAATTTAAAATAAATATGTCTACTTGTAATGCTGACAGGATACTGTTAGCCAATTTGACCGTCAAACATAAACGTCATCATAAAATCGGCACTTCATACTCCCATCATAGAACACTTATTCACGATGAGTAAAACATTCAACTGATCAGTACTCCCACAGTCTGTATTTGGGATTTACCACACTTAAATTTCTCAATATTAAATATTTGGATAGTGTCATTGGAAGGCGGAGATTATCTGAAAAATGTGATATACTTCAGCAATACTTTTCGAACAACACATTTATTTGTCCATTCAATTTATATTATAAAAATAAAGGACAACACAAAGTGACACAAAAGAAGCTGAGAATAATAACATAATGATCGGTTATCGAATCAGATGAGGATTACCAAGGTAGCTTAAGAGTAATAATAAAGTGTTTCTGAACACACAGGGTGAGGGTTAGGCGATTAAGTTTATGTATAGCTATAACCTTAGCGTATTTCAATAAACGACCTCGACCATTTCATAGATGACCCTAGAAGGTGTGTTAACATCAAGCTTATGTTTCATATCGATTAGTTGTTTGGCTAAAAACGAAGTTGGCAGTCTTCCACCTGTGTCTATTGTTTTCCGAAGTTCACCTGTCTTTCTAACCATTTCGGAATATGTTTTCCCACCCTCACATGTCAAGGGTGATTACTCATCCCTATTTATGTGCGTCCACACACACACGCACGTAAATTGGAAAATAGTCTGGCATGTGACAGAATCACTCGTGCAATTTTGAGGTTTGTAGTGAAGCATATTTTTAACCTTTTTTCATAATGACAATTCGGACTGCATGATAGATCCTACGGATGACCGGAATTATTCTCTGCCTCAAAATTCAAATGTTTCTTTCCAAGTTGTATGGTAATTTGATGAATGCATCATTATTAAGGGCTAGTTGTCTTCTATACCTGTTAAAAATGTGAAAGAATATTCGTCTCCAAAAAGAGTATCCATCAATATTTCAGTTTCTCCCTCTATAATACCAGCCGTGAGAATACACTGTATCCTCTCAAGTAAGCATTTCACCAAGCCTTTCTTATACTTCAGTGGACAGAAGCTGTGATAAATTGCACTAGAATATAAAGGAGGCTAGGCGAAATGCTTACTTGAAAGGATTCAGTGTATTTGTATGGCTGATGTTACAGAGAAGGAAAATGAAATACTGATGTATACTCGTCTTGAAAACGGATTTGCTTAAACATTGCTAAAGGGGTGTGTGACATATTTACATAGGATGAACAACACACACCATTCACATTTAGAGTTGTTCAGTACAGCTGAAGAGTATCATTCGAAACATTCATATATACACTGTGAAGCTTGTTTTGAAGATTAATAAGTAGCGATAGCATATAATACGAAGCAGTTACAACGGCACGTTTCATCACCAAAGGTCAACAATTCACTACAGATTTCCGAGTCAGTCACAGGAAACACTGACCTCCAAATATCACAATCCTGTCATATCGTTTTCCTCATACACCGATTCCTATTTGTCATTCAACTATTCGTAGTTCACCTAATTAGAATATAATCCATCTTTTATATAGAATGTTTGTTGCATATATGGATAGTGTGTGTAGTAATCGTTAAATTTAATCAGCTCATTTTCTTCAATGAATTTACCCTTGTCTATGCATGTAATTATTCCATTCTGAATATTTCAACAGGTGATTTCACGCATCACATTTGAGTCTGACAAGCTGGATCATTTTTTGAATCAACATTTCTGCGTAGGCATGATGGATATATCTTAAATTAGTTTCAATATTCAAATCGGGGGAAGGTGAAGAGAAGAGACTAGAACTAATGATCAGTAATTCATCTGACAACTGTATCAAGCAGATTGTCGATTCTAATGTGAGTCAGTTTGTGAAAAGGCGTATAGAAAATGATTGTGTTAACAACATTCTACAAATCTGGTGACAGGATTAGTTTGAAAACCACGGGATATTACATAGCAAAGTTCATATCCTGGGCGAATACGCTCTAAATACTTTCCATTCACTCTATAAATGAGAAACTCTGAGTATTTGGTTGTGCGAATCAAGAGTATTTAATTGAAAGCTCATACACATCATCGAAGAAGCATTGGATCGACTGATTTCGTGTTTTGCATATTGACGATATGAGGGTAAGTGATATGAATAAATTGTGTAAACTGCAAAACATGAAGAAATGAATGTCAAACTCAACTGAAACGATCAAACTTCTAGTGAAGGAAATAGTAGAGATAGACTAAAATTAAACAATTGCTTCTATGTCACAATAACTTTAATCAACTCGGAGAAGAACGAATAGCCATGGGTTATGCCAACTTCATGTCTGCCTGCATGTGTATTCTGATTAATTACTCGTGTACTGTTAGCGAAGTACACACTCACCTTCTCTATTAAAATCAGTAAACACAATCCCGACGTTAAACAACAATCTCCGTAACAGATAGAGAAATATTTATTGCCTGCATCACCATACAGAGAGTAGAATAGTGAATTTCAAATATCACACAGTCAACATCCGAGCAGTGAAGACACCGACAGTGTGAACATGACCACATTACATAGGGGAGTTAATGAATGAATGAATGCATGAAATACTAAGCAAGTCAATACACAGTGATACATTATACTGTGAAACACGAATGTGGTGCATTCAACATGGCAGGCAGTTTCATGTTAGTTTTACATTTGTAAATAATGATAAATTCGGCAGAAATACACAACAGATAAAATCGCTGTTTATACACAACAAAACAATTTCCAATATACACTGAAGTGTAGAGTGATGTACAAAAGATGTCGTGTATTAATGAAATCAGTGTAGCCTTCAAAAACGTGTTGAAAATAAGTTGATGTTGTGTAGTTCACTGAGTAGAGCGGGGTGACACATAGTACATATGGAAACTTGGATGATATGTGAAGTAACAATACCATTCAATGAATACATGTGATGGTCAAAATAATGAGATGAATAAGATGATGGAAATACAAAGTGATACGAGAACTTTACTGTTTGGAACATGTTTAACTTCTGTTGATGTGTACTCCATGTATTCGAAATAAAAGTCGCTGTAAACGAATAACAGTGGTGAAACTGATAAGTGAGATTCATGCCATACTCCTGATTTAACACCAATTCCATTGTCAAAATAAAAGACAAACTAGTGTAAAATGATAATACACACCTGATATAGCTGATACGGTGATGAATATTGGTGAAAGAACACCTGCCTTGTACTTTCTGCGTTCAACCGACATTGATAATCCTTTCATGAATCTATTACTCTTCGAAGAGACGTACATTTTTACCCTCCTTACTCTTAATTTCCTCTGTGATGTTGTCAGTTTTATTTGATTCATCATATAAACTGAATTGACAAGCGAATGTCTGTAATCAGACTGTTCAAAATAAGTGGCTTGCCCGAATGTATTACAATTATCAGCGATCATCATCCCAATATAGTGAAGAAAGTATTTCTTCACAATTCCTGAATACATTGGTTGGATCTCTTCTCATATCTCCGTTATATTACAGTAGAAATTCGCCTTATCTTACACATATTCAACAAATACTTCATTTTGTACAAACAATGACATATCCTACATGTCAATTTATCATGAATGCATGCATCAGTCATGATATGATGTTCAGTCCTTGTTTAATGAGTGAAATTATATTTAAATTAAAGGTTTATAACTCTTAACTAAAAATATAGCACGAAACCGCTTAGAGGTGATTAAAAATACATACGACTGAACACGAAGAATAGTCTTACCTCGGTTCGCTATAAAATAGTAACAGTAACAACAATAAAAATGATAAGTGAGACCGGTGTCGTGAAATGAATAACACTGGAGAAATCAAAGACAAGCAAGTACAAAAACTTAAAAGTAATCTTCATTTGTTTGAATAAGGTGACATATTTCCTCATACTAAGCAAGCTAACTCCTGCAGACTTTGAAGATCAGAAATCTATCCACTCTCGAAACCAATCCTAATCCACCTAACATTTCTCATCTGGTGCTTGCTTAATACTTGGTGTGCCTGATGATTAGGTGTAAGTATGAATGAGTAGTCACATTATGCGGATCAATTTCATGAAGACAAAACAATTCAGGTGATGCGAGCAAATTCATGAGATATTTCAGAGTATTTTGGTGATTGAGATTTTCCACTAAAATTGAGATACTCTGCTGCCTTGAAGTGAATACAAAAGTATGCTACTGAATATAAAGAAAAATCTTACCTGATTATGCTGTAGACAAGTAAACAGTAAGAACAGCGATAAGTGAGACTGACGTCTTATACTCAATTCAGAATGAATTTCATTACCATATCGAAGTGAAGGCGGTGTAGAAGATGCTGCTCACTTTTTCGTTTATTTTATTAAGAAGACGGATTCTTTTTCGAATCATACAAGACAAATGTTTAGTTGTTCGCAGTAACGTAAAGTTGGTCAAAGTAACGTAACTGGTTGTGTGAGCCCGTTCCGAATATTTTTGTGTGGCCATCATTAATAGTGGATCTCAACAGCTTTTGCTGTAGGTGAAATACCTTCTATTTACTTTCCCTTTACGTATAAATGGAAATTACCAAATGGATGTGTGTAATCAAATTTTTTGAAAAATTGGTTCTCCACATTCATCACTATTTTTACAGAAATAATCCGTACTTCACTTAACGCAATCGAAATGGAACAAAGGCAGTAAGTGGTTCTGCCTTCACAGGAAATGTGGAATTTGTGAATTCGTGTATCGTACTGCACTGTTTATCTGTCTATCTTACGCATATTCGACAAAAAGGTGCTTCTTACAGAGCGTGATATATTTTACGTTTAAATTTTATTTCATGGATAATCCCCTTTTAGGCATTAATGAAATCAAAACACGTGGTTCAATGAAGAGTTTCTTTTCACCGAATTCATTTTCTTAGCTGTAAAATCGCAAATATATACGTGTTATTTTGACAATTTACGACTGTACAAAAGATACGTAGACGACATATTCATTATTTGTGACATTTACAATGACCCCAGTCTACTGCTGCAGACATTTAACTGTTGCCATCCAGCAATAAAATTCATTCTTGAAATGGAAAGCGAGTCAAAAATTCCGTCTCTTGATGTGGAACTAACAAGAAGAACTGACGGGAGCCTAAGAAGGTCGATCCATAGAAAACCTGCGTGGAATGGTCAACTAACAAGCTTCTGTAGTTGGGTACCCATGTCAAAAAAGCGGAATTAAATTAAATCACTTGCCACCCTTATCCGACGCATCTGTAGTCCCGACATTCTGAAAACAGAATTAGATATTCTGAGAGAAATCTTTATCCAAAATGGATACCCAATAAGATTCATCGACAGAAATATCAAACCAATAACTCGGAGAAACGAAACTTTAATTGCGTTTGAACTTGGATTTCAAGGGAGATTTAGGAAGTGATATTCTCAAAAGAAGGATCACATCACCTCTGAGAAGAACATTCTTTGCGGTAACGCTGAGAATAGTGTTCTCCAGTCGCCCAATGATCTGCAGAAGCCTCAAGGACAAAATCCCGCATCTGACTACTTTTAGGTACATATATCAGTTCACCTGCTGCTGTGGAGCCAGGTACATCAGTCGTTCGACGCGCACCCTGTCCAAGAGGATTACAGAACACTACCCAGCATGGCTGCGAAAAGGCAATAGTAATGCAATAAGGAGTGCGATAATTGAACACCTGGTTAACACTGACCATTCCATTTTAACAAACTCCTCCTTCAACGTAATCTACAGAGTCAAGAATAACCTAGCAAAGGCAATACAGTTTCGTCTCCTTGTATCACTGAAGCTGTGGCCATTCACATAGAAAAACCGGAGCCGTGCATACAAAAAGGGACTACTCAACCAATTCTACTATCATGTACACAACTATATATGATTATGAGCAATAGTTTGTGCTCGAAACTTCATCAGTTAATATTACTGTACAACGCTGTGTGATTTATCAAAATAAAATCTTATTCATAATGGAGTTATGCTCTGCCACAGTGCCCAAGTTTTATACTTATATCAATAACACATATATATTTGCGATTGTACAGCTAAGAAAATGAATTCGCCGAAAAGAGACTCTTCGTTGAACTACGTGTTTTGCTTTCATTAAACTTTATTTCGTTAATAGATGCATAGATCATGATGCTCAATCCTTTTCTTATTGAATTAGAATTCAAATAACCTAACAGTTTAACAGGTAATTAAATACTAAACTGCTTCAACTTGCATGAAAAAGCACACTATTGCACAAGGAGAAGTATCTTACCTGGCTTCGCTGTAAACAAATAACAGTAACAGTAACAATAACAATAAAAAAGATGAGTGAGAATGATGTTGTATTCCCGGTCTGAAATGAATAACACTGCAGAAATCAAAGACAACACAAGTATAAAATCATAACAGTTCTTCGTTTAATTCAACGTGAAGCCAAATGTGTGCGAATACAATTAAAGCATCCAAAGGAGACGATGAGGATCAGGGATCTACCTACAGGCAAACTAATCCTATTCCACTAAACCATTTTCATGTAGCAGTTATAAACCTCGTCATGTTTATTTCAAGTTGAATAAGGCAGAATCAATGATAAATTATCAACATTGATCGCGCGAAAATTAGGGAATCTCAAAGTAATGAGATGTTTAAGACATTTGTGATGATTAACGCTTTCTATCACCGTAGTGTGTATATATTTGTTCACTGTTGTTTGTTTCTATTTAATGTAAACGCACAATACAATTAATTCTGCAGAATGCGAAATTTCGACTTCTGCCATCTCGTTTTTGTGATACTCGATCAGTAGAGGTTGAGATTACAAAGAAAATATTTTAGAATAAAATAAGAAATACTGGACAGTTGTTTTGTCCTAGTTTGGGACTCTTCAGCAGTATGCACACCTCGGGGTTGATGAAATGATGATGATGAAAACCTGTAACCGATCAACCAAATCGCTACAAACCAATACTTGAAAATAAGAAATGCTTTGCCATTTTGAGCAACATAAAAATAGTCAGAGATAACTACAGTGAGTGTATGGCCTACTCCTGAACAGCCTGTTTGCCTATCATAAGTAAATCTCAATAACTTTTATTTTTACGCAAAATACGAATTAATCGATTGAAATTATGATCAGATATATTGAGATAAAAGCCTTTGTAAATGTCATTATTGTGTTAATTAACCACATGATCTGCTCTCATAGAGTTATCCTCATGATTTCAGTGAAACTACTACTTCATTATTATTATTTTTAAACCACCTTTCTTGATCAGTAAATATGCTGTCTGACCTGTTGATACAGGTGAATGATTGTCAATACATTCATTAGAATGAGATTTCTAAATCAAGTATTGACACAAAAGGCTACATATTTTGGTATGCCGTTACTGACGAGAATCCAAATGACAGACAAGCACGTCTTTGCTTAATTTATCTTCTTTTTGAAACGAAGCAGCATGCGTCGGCGGCATAACGCTTAGGACTCTCGCCGCCCATGCACATGGTCCGGGGTTCAATCCCCGGCCACTGATGCACTCCTTTACCCCGCTAAGCCAGAAATAATGCTGGTAAAGAGGAAAGGTTGGGCATGAGGCTAGCAACCCCATCCTGTAAAATAAACACTGCTATAGAAACTTCAAGCCAGTAGCTTGAAACCTTATGTTCCACTGGGGAAAGTGAAGGAAAAAAAAGAAACGAAGCAGCTTAATAAACAGAGGTAATATACCATACCGTAAATCAATGTACATGTATACGCGAATATATATATATATATATATATATACATGACAAGGCATGTTCATTTCGTATAAAATAACATGATCAAATGGATATGTCTAGTCAGATTCGTCCAGCAAAAATAGAATCCCTAAAATGCCTCATATTTTTCACATATAATCCATTCTTCATTAACGCCATACTGATGTATTCCAAAAAGACCAACTGTTCACAATTTTCGAAGGCATGGTGTGCATTGTTTTGTGATGTCTTCAATTTAATGAATCAAAATACAATTAACTTAATAGTTTTATAACTCTTAAGTAGGAATTCAGTACTAATAATGATTTGAAATAAGCCTAAAATTTCATATAGACAAAAAATCTTACCCAGATTCTACTATACTTTCTTCTGTAGTCTGAATACTAGGTGGCACAACAATTTGGAAACTCATAAGATTTTTCAAAAGAAAGGTAACCTCAGATATGCGATTCATCACATTCAACCTCCGTCTTCCATCATCAGATCCTTCCAAATAAACTAGGCGACCTCCTACTTTTAGTTGTTCTCTCAACTAAGTTATCCAGAGCAAATGAAACACACAATAAAATGTGATTATTATTATTATGATTTTATTATATGGGAATCTTGAATGAATGATGCAAAATAAATAATGTCACGGACAGATAGAGTGATATGGGATTTCCACCAAATCTATCTCATGAAACAGATAAAAGACTATTCAGTGAATAAGGTATCGTCTACTGATGAAGTTATACTTATATTCAATAAAAGATGCTTATTCATTTCTCGAATATTTCGGGAATCCAGGCCAAGCAAATTGAATATGGTCTCTCTTGAATTCGTCTACACTGCACATCCAAACTATGAAAAGGACGTTAACTTTCAAGACTTGTGGATGATGTGGGCTCTAGCGATTCGTCAGTTCATCTACAAACCCTGTTAACAAAGGTCTCTTCAACTTCCTCATCGTACCATAGTCTCAATTTCCTTTATACTTGTTTGCCTATAATTTCACTTTGCATTTCACAGCTATTACTCCCAAGTACTTCTTTTACCAACTTTACTATTCAGTTGATTGTATTCTCACCTTTATCACACTTGTCAAGTGGACACTTAGCCTAACATTTTTGATTTCTGATCATAACTTGATTCCACACTGCATTTTTTGATACAAGTATGGAATTTTCAGCATATAATATTGGTAGCCCAAATTTTGCAGGCTACCATTTGATATCAGCTGTGCGTTGGTTGGAGACCGAACCCGGACCATGTGCATGGTCAGCCAGAGTCTTAACCGCTGTGCCACCGACGCATATATCCAATAATTTTCATCTGAATTAATTTCAAGCCATCACTTCCACTATTTCGTTGGTAATTACCTAAGATTTCTGAATATTTGGAAGTGTTTGTCGATTATATCACAACCCTTATACAAAATACCGAATATCATCATGAAATACAACATGAGAGAATATATATATATTAATTAGTGGATGTTACGAGAACTAGCTGCATTAGAGTTACTCTTGTGTCTAATCAAAACCATTCAAGGATAACTGAACACATCACAGTAAAATCATTTATGGAGAGCACTAAGGTGAGATAAACACCGCAGACTAATGGACATCATTATTCAGTAAACCGAACAAGTGGTTCCTTCTCATTTACAATATCTTCATTCTACTGTATTAGTTTCTCACATAAATAAAAATGGCATTACCTGAATAATGACAGTTTATATTTACAAATTGTAAGTGTGATGAGTGACTGACTGTTTGCATAACTGTACTGTGCAAATATTCACTGTCATTTGTTCTTACTTCATGTAAATATACAATACAAATATTCACGAGCAATATGAACTCCTGATTCTTGTCGTCTCCGTCCTCCGTCTAGCTGACTTACTATTATTCTGCGATTACTCGTTAAACTCGCAAACAAAATATGACATTTGACTAAGTAGACTTACTTCCTTCATGATACTTTCATCCAGCATATGCAAATAAATAGCATCATACTGTGCATTTGATGACCAAGATTTGTGATCACTAACTGATCTGAATATAATTTGTGTCCCCAATGTAAAGGCATATTTAGTATATTGTAGCCACTTTGCAAAATTCCCCAAAGCCGCTTCCATTAACTTATTATCAGGCAGAGTGGATTCTGTCCTACCACCAATCCCAGACTTTGAGAGGTGGGAGAACAAAAGAAGAGACATAAGTGTGTAGATCACTTTGATATATAGTAAGCGAATCAGTATCAACCTAATGGTCGATTGTATGGAAAGTAAAATAACTAGTTAACTATCTGGAAAGAGATTAATACAGGTGATGAATGGAACCTAATGACCAAACAGGAGAAAACAAAACTCTAGGCTGAAGTCTTCAAAACGCTTGAATCAAGCACTACTTAAAACTTACCCAAAAATACCACCAACAGATACAGAACTCCCAGTGAACACCGGTCCTCCGAAGTAAGCAGAAGTCGCGAGCGCCAGCGATGAGAATCACTGAGAACGCACCCAAAGACCTAGTGTTTATGCTCACACCATATTCGCAAAGCGTTTGAAGGGAAGAATGAGTGCCTACTGGTTGAACGAAGGAGGAACACCCTTTAAAACTACCACGGAGTGGTGAATTTCTACAACTTCAGAAGAATCATACTCCTGGTTGCTTGTAGATAACTTCCTACCTCAATATCTCAATGAGGAGCATACAAGCACTCATGAAAGTTCTACTGAGCTATTCAAATCTCTAATTCTCAGAACGCATCTGACGTTCACGACTTCTGATGTACATTATTATAGAGGAAATGACTATAAACCTTCTGTTGGAATCATACTACAAAAAATGGAAGTCAAATGGTGAAGATATTGGACATCGAAGATCATTCGGTTCACAGCAAACACCTGAATCAAGTGAAAATAAATGAAATAAGTCATTTCGATTACAATTTTAATGATTACGCTACTAATTCTGATTTTGTAGATAGTTCAGAAATAAGTCTAGATGACACCGGTGAAAACAATATCACAGAATCAATTAGAAGAACGCGGATACTTGCAGGCAAACCGAGACATCATTTTAAATACACAAGGGGAGATTTGACATGTTGTGGGTGTGGTGATTGACAATTTCTATCTCTGTATTGTGTAAATACTTACTATTGTTTGTTAATATATTATTACATGAATTACAAATAATCCCGCCAAATATAAATTGCTAAATTTATCCCTCTCTGTGTTACTGGTTGATTTCCTGTAATTCGGCCATTGTAAAATACTACTAGTACAAATAATTATAACACTGCTTCAAACAAAACATTAAGCCGAATCATCCTGTAGAGACTAAGGATGCTCCGGACATAAAACTCCACCTGAATTGAGCTAGATTAAGGAAAACTGAATCACATGTAAACCAAATGAATCTTTTCCATAAAACAGTCTCATAAATTGAGAATATGCAGATGATGTAGGCCTTCTAAGCAAAGATGCTGACAAAATCCAGCATCATTTGAATACCTTGAGCAGATATATCAGCAAGTTTTACAAAAGATTCGCCCTAGTCAAATTGTAGACGATGCTGCAAGACTACACTGAACTGGCTAGGAAGGAAGGATAGGAAGTGAAATGTCCAAGTATGGTAACCACTCCATTTACTCGTCAAGTTGTAGCCGCCCTAGTCGATTGATTACAGACGAAATCTCAGTTTACGTACGAAAGACTAGTCTGGTAGTTACAAACTCGTGTTGTTTTTAAAGCAGGCGAGGTATCATGCTGACTCAAAACAAGTTTCTGCTGCCCAAAAGTTTATTACATCCCTCATCATGGCTGAGAGAAATAACTTTCAAAATTGGAGTATATGCAGAAGCTAGGCGACTTTGACCATGAGTGTCCGCAGTTTGTTCCACGTCTTTAGTTTTGCAGCATGGTCAGTAACATGTAGACTAGGTTTAACATGTATGGTAAGTAGGGAAAATAATTGCATGAGGTAGTGAAGCTATATTACCTAAAGTGACTGGGACACGTATTATTTACGTTGTCGAGCAATATTAGCTGGTATAGAATTATGTTGGAAAGGGATTTGAGATGGCTAGATCATAACTTATTATCAAACTGTGAAGTAAATGATAACTAGCTTGAGCCAGTGTTGTTGCATGGGGAAGACCACCTGGCTGTGATAGTCAAGATGCTAAGAACCGAAGACTGGAGGTTGTTCATGACACGACTCAAAGTCGTTATCAGTGATGCAAATACATTCAAATTCGTAGACTCCTAGATCTATTCGAGTCTCATTATTTTACACATAAATATGTTACCTGTTGTATGCATCTGTTCATTATGGCTTCTTTACATATTTCCTAGCTTTATCTTTGATTCTCAAACCGCAGCACTTTTGCGCAAAGCTTCACTTTAAAACGTCACTTCAGCTAATCAAGACATCCAGGTTAATATAAACCGAATTCTTTTACTTCACTGTGTTAATAAGATAAGCAAAGTGAAATGAGGTCCAAAGTGTTTTTAAATTTCAGATTAAATCATAAGTCTTGTTACGGAGGTTTCCGCAATCCTCCAATCTGAATATACGACAAATTGTTGACGCGATGAGTTAAAAGACAAAATACAATTGTCAGAAAGTATTGCTATCAATTAGAGATGAGCAATGGTTAAACTCAATCGATGTAAACCCACTGGTCGTTTTGCACTCTGTTCATGAATGTAAATTCATTGTATCATGGTATAAAAACTTTCAACGCCATCCTTACTGAATCTTTAGGTGAAAATATTATTGTTGTCAACGAACCTCAACTAACTTCAATCTTTGAATGTCAATATTCTGGTTAGCTTAAATATTCATGAAACGATGCTCCAAGGCTTTCTGGTAATGTGAACCATGTGAATCACAAAGAAAATTGAAATTACACTTCACTACAATAGACTCACCATAAATGTTATGCAAGCTGAGAGGTATCCACTACCCGGCTCCATAATAAGTGAGTGTGAACCGTTCTTGATGTGGTCATGCAATGCTTCCAGAATAGTTGCATCCTGGATCACGGAAAATGAAAGGGTAAATATTTAGCGTGCGCATCGAATTAAAGAAACACAGTAGTGCATCTAAGGAGTCTGGAACAGTTTGACTGAACAGCTTGCTGTTAGCTGTTAATAAGGAAACCTTATACACAACTTTCATCGAAAACAATTCATTGTAAAATATACATTACACATCCATCCAATAATATCATCGAATGCAAAGTTTAAACTCACCAACATAATTCAATTCACAATTCACAGCCACAATGATCTACCAGTTTATTCTTATGAAATTCACACTTTAGTTACTCAGTGAAATCAAATTTACATGAAGTGAACGTAACGCATACTTCAGATCGAGTGCAGTGAAATCGAAAACTATGAACTATTTCAGGTGTACACATGGTTGAATAAACATGCCAATCACCAGAGAGCCCTCAGACACGTGCAAGATATGCATCCGTTATCATTAAGTATAGTATGCAGTATCCAATAAATACTGATAAACCTGTATAAACTGTCGAAGCACTAGCACTGTGTACCGCTTGTGGAGTCCTCAAAAATAAACTTATCCAAATTTTACTACTATGTAAATAATGAACATATTGTACACCACTTTGTTTTAACCATAAACTCTGTACTTTGACTTTACCTCGGGTTTTGAATAAATATATAGTTCTGCCTTCGACTCTCCGTCTTCTCCACCATCTCAACTGCCGTCGATCAATTTTAATCACCTGCTTTCTATCTCAAATTTTTGCAGGAGCACCGTAGTTTCTTCCTACGTACTTTGGTCGACCTCCGGCAACGTCAACATTGGAGAATTAGTACTGGAGCAGTCTTCCCGCAGCACCTGGAGTCTATAACGTTTATTGTGGACTTTGGATCTTTGTAAACCCAAGTAACCAAACTTTAATACATTCTTCCCGTAACTAAACTGATTTGGTACTTTATTTTCTATTTGAATTTGGGTAACTAAGCTAACCGAGTGAAAGGTCCACCACAATAATTGGTGAGCCCGACGTGATATTTTTTTTATGGTTAACCCGTTTTCGAACCTTTTTGTTTCGATAGTTAACTCGTTTTGAACATTTTTGTTGCTATTTTGGCCTTATAAACTCGCATTGCTTTAATTTTTGTTACCACAAGTTTTGCTATTTTGTATATCTCTATACTTATATATTATATGACAATGGCTCCACCTAAACGTACCACTGTTGCTGAAGAAGGTAATAAAGGCGAAGAGACACAGAACTCTGCTGTTAACGCCTTGCCGGATTTAAGACTTCCTCAATTTGATCTGGCTGAACCACGTGTCTGGTTCACAATCATTGAACAGTTGTTTGCAGCTCGAGGTATTACGTCGCAGATCGCCATGTATGGTTGCGTATTAGCAGCAATTCCCACGGAAGTACTACGAGAGGTTATCGATGTCATAGACAGCAAACCTACAGACTCTCAATATGACAAACTAAAAGCTGCACTCATCCAGCGGACCACTCTCTCCGATGAGAAACGCATACAACAACTACTTACTTCGTGTGATCTAGGTACAAAAAAGCCATCTCAACTACTTAGACATATGCGCCAGTTGATTGGGTCACACAAAGTAGATGAGTTAATTCTACGTCAGATGTTCTTACAACGTTTACCACAAAATGTTCAACAAATCCTAACAATATCTTCTAGGACGACAGACCTTGAAGAATTAGCTAAAATGGCAGACGATATCATGGATGTGTTATCAAATAATGGCATAAATAGCGTGTCTACAGAGGCAGTACCACCAAGCCCTTCCACATCTATGAAGGACGCACCAATGTTTTGGTTACTTTCCCAGTTAACATCTCAAATGCAAGATTTACGACTGGAAGTGTCCGAGCTTCGAGCACAAAGGAACCAGTCACATACGGTATCCAAGCAACGGCGATCAAGATCTAGACGACGTTCTAGAACACCGTCTCAAAGCCGTAACATTTGTTGGTATCATAGGAGGTATGGGCATAATGCCCTGAAGTGTATTCGACCGTGTATGTACAACAGTAGTAACTCATCTCAGGGAAACTCCCCAGCCAGACAGTAATGGCGACGGCTGTTAATGGCAATCACCCCAGTCGCCTTTTCTATGTGAGGGATTTGACTACCGGCACATTATTCCTGGTAGATACAGGCGCCGAGGTCAGTGTTATTCCCCCCTCACTATCCAGGCGATCAGCCAAAATACCTGGAAAACTTTCACTTCGTGCTGCCAACCAAACCAACATACAGACGTATGGCGAACAGTCAATGATTTTAAACCTAGGACTACGCCGACGTTTCACATGGATCTTCATAGTAGCTGACGTACGTCACGCTATACTAGGTGCAGACTTCCTAAGTCACTTCAATCTGTTGGTTGATATCAGCAAGAAAAAACTGGTTGACAATTGCACCCAACTCAAGATCCACGGTATTACATGTGACTACTCTGTTCATAGCATCTGTATAGAAAAGCCGGAGAGTGAAATGTTCTCTGCTTTATTGCAACGATTTCCTAAAATCCTTAAACCATCATACAACGTCGAAGATATATCTCATACAGTTACGCATAAGATCATCACAACAGGACAACCTGTGAAGGCACGTCCACGACGGTTACCACCCGATAAACTAGCAGCAGCTAAGTCGGAATTCGAACATATGATGCAGCTAGGTATCATACGACCATCTAACAGCCCATGGTCTTCACCTTTGCACATGGTACCTAAAACTAATCATGACTGGCGACCATGTGGAGATTATCGCGCTTTGAATAACGCTACGGTCCCAGATCGTTATCCTATACCTCATCTCCACGACTTCTCCTTGACCTTACATGGAAAGACCGTTTTTACTAAAGTTGACTTGGTCAGGGCATATCATCAAATACCAGTCGCTCCAGAAGACATTGCAAAAACAGCAATTATCACGCCTTTTGGATTATTCGAATTCTTGAGAATGCCTTTCGGACTAAAGAATGCTGCTCAAACATTTCAGCGTTTTATGGACCAAGTTACCCAAGGTCTTGATTTCGTCTTTGTATATATCGACGATGTCTTAATTGCCAGCTCATCGATGGAAGAACATATGCAACACTTAAGCCTGTTATTTCAAAGGTTTGAACAATTTGGAGTTGTTATCAATCCAAAGAAATGTATTTTTGGTTCCCCTTCCATTGAATTCTTAGGACATCGAATAACTGCCGAAGGCATCAGACCTACCGAAGATAAGATAAAAACTATTAAGAACTTTCCCGAACCTGATTCCTTAAAGAAACTTAGACGTTTTCTCGGGATGTTCAACTTCTACCGACGTTTTATTCCATCATGTGCCTCCATAGTTCAGCCACTGACCGACCTACTTAGATGCAATTCGAAGAAATTTCAGTGGTCTGAAGAAGCAAAAGCAGCATTTAATAATGCAAAAGATGCCTTATCCAACGTTGTAATGTTATCTCATATCAACCCAGAAGCTTCACTCATTTTATGTACAGATGCATCGCAGGTAGCAGTGGGAGCAGTTTTACAACAAAAGTTCAATAATGACATCACTCCACTTGCTTTCTTCTCCAAGAAGTTGGAACCTGCGCAAACTCGTTACAGCACTTTTGGCAGAGAACTGTTAGCCATCTACCTAGCAGTGAAACATTTCAGCTTCTTACTACAAGGTCGACATTTTACTATCTTAACCGACCATAAGCCTCTTTGTTATGCTTTCACCACTTCGTTGGACAGACACTCTCCGAGAGAAGCCAGACAACTGGATTACATCTCACAATTCTCAACAGACATCCAGTTCATCAAAGGAGATTCCAATATCGTAGCCGATTCTTTGTCTCGATGTGACGTTAATCACCTATCTTCGATAGATATTAGCTTAGACAATATTGCCAAGCTGCAGAAAAATGACGCCGAACTCCATACTTGTAGACGAAACTCCTCCCTACAGTTGCAGGATGTACCTATTCCCCTGTCTGATACAACTATCGTCTGCGACGTTTCAACGGGCGTTCATAGACCTTTTGTTCCACTAAGTTGTCGAAAACCTTTGTTTGAACATCTACATTCATTGTCTCATCCTGGAGTGCGTGCTACGGTCAAGTTAATCAGCGAGCGTTTTGTTTGGCCCAAGATGAACTCCGATATTCGGAAATGGGCCCGACAATGCTTGCAATGTCAAAGATCCAAGGTACATCATCATACCGTCACACCTCCAAAACAGTTCAATTTACCGGATAAACGATTTCAACACGTTCATATAGATATTATTGGACCATTACCGCCATCCAGAGGATTTACTCATATACTTACTGCGATTGATCGATTTACCCGATGGGCTATTGCTTGTCCACTCAACGATATATCTGCAGAAAATATCGCCTTGGTTTTCTTAGATCGCTGGGTGTCAAACTACGGAGTACCCACAACTATTACAACAGATTCACCAACCGCCTTACCCAGCAAATGCTCCAGCTTCGACCAGTAGCCTCTCGCCAATCACTCCAGAAAGTTCAAGTTAATAAGAATCTACTCACTAGCAAATTTGTATTTGTTCGCGTCGATGCCATTAGAAAAGGTTTACAACATCCATATGAAGGTCCTTTTCTAGTACTTAAACGCACCGATAAATACTTCACGCTGAACAAACATGGTAAACCGGAGACTGTTTCTATCGACCGTCTTAAACCAGCGTACACCGACAGCGAATATGAAACACTAGCAACGCCGACACCAATGAACAATCAGAAAGTCAATTCAACTCAAACTCTCCCTCTCTTCACTCTTCCCCCTGTACAGACACGCAGTGGTCGGCAGATCTGTAAACCTGCCCGCTATGTTCATTTTATTGACTGACATAAAAAAAGAAAGTACGTTGACCTCATTTAGACATTCTTCTCATTACTATTGTTGTCGACATTCATTTCATTGTAATCATAAATATTTATTAGTATTATTATTTGCTGTTCGTCAACTGTACTGCAAGCACACGCATTCACCAAGTATATGTATATATCTATTTATATATGAATTTCACAAATGTTAACGAACATGTCATGGTTTATTATGTACATAAATTTTTTATTTAAAATTACAACAAGTTTTGATTTTTTTAAATTCCTGTATGTGCTTGTATGTGCTAAACTTTATACGACACGGATGCATGGTATACATCCTGATCTAACTTTTTATCCTTATTGTTATTTTTTGTTATCCTTATTGTTGACGTTGTCCCTTATTTATATTGCTTATATTCATGTAATCGTCCACGAGGACAAGTACTGATGGTCCTCCGGACCTCTAAGAGGGGGAGCCCTGTGGAGTCCTCAAAAATAAACTTATCCAAATTTTACTACTATGTAAATAATGAACATATTGTACACCACTTTGTTTTAACCATAAACTCTGTACTTTGACTTTACCTCGGGTTTTGAATAAATATATAGTTCTGCCTTCGACTCTCCGTCTTCTCCACCATCTCAACTGCCGTCGATCAATTTTAATCACCTGCTTTCTATCTCAAATTTTTGCAGGAGCACCGTAGTTCTTCCTACGTACTTTGGTCGACCTCCGGCAACGTCAACATTGGAGAATTAGTACTGGAGCAGTCTTCCCGCAGCACCTGGAGTCTATAACGTTTATTGTGGACTTTGGATCTTTGTAAACCCAAGTAACCAAACTTTAATACATTCTTCCCGTAACTAAACTGATTTGGTACTTTATTTTCTATTTGAATTTGGGTAACTGAGCTAACCGAGTGAAAGGTCCACCACACACTTACCACTCATGAGTGTTTAACGAATTGTTCCGAGCAGGAGGTGCATTTTCAGGCCTTTATCTTTCCCAAACTTTATTTTGTCACTGTGGTTTATGACCCTTAATAATGAATTCAACTTCTGTTTGCCAACTTTTATCTGCTTTTTATACTGCACATATGTGCATTAATTTTTATTAAAACTAAATCTTCAGGGATTGACAGTTAACCACTTCGTAAAGATAAACAACACATGGCAATAAACCAATGTGACATAGTGAAATCTTTGCCTCACAATGATTCGTGGTATTAAAATTTACTGAACTCACGACAAATGGGGGAAGAATTATGGCACCGGATTTCGTTGACACTGAACAAATTTTATATGTGTTAGTCTCAACAAAACAACCACGATCCACATTCTGCATGGCTTTTTTGACACGGGTGGATTTTACAAACCCTTTCTCTGTATTGTGACCTGTAGTAAACTTCAGCTACTAATTACCCTCTAGCTTTGTTATCATTTCTATATTTTCTCCTTCACTTATTCGACAGGCGGAAACGCTGCAAATATAAAGTGAAATGATGATTATGACAGTGAAGTAAGTGAATAGATACATGTCTTCTGTGATACAACTACGCGGAAACGCAAATAACGAAGTCAAAATACCGCCTTCAATATACCAATATCCAATATTCTGATCACGAGCTAGTATAAACCAGTGATTTCTTTGAGCTCGCTTCTTGACTGTAAGGTAGAGGTTTCAGATCTTTGGTGAACTTCTGCGTAGTACGTCCCGCCACTCGACTGCTTTAGCTCTGGTAGACTCCAAGAGGAGTGGTGCGGGGATTGGTCAAAATGTGGTTTGTAGTATGCAGTATGTTAGGACTGTGTTGCTGCGGTGAATGGAGTTTGACCTAAATCCCGTTGGTCATTCGGTGTAGTCATAAAAGCAGAATAGTAATAATAATAATAGGTTGTAGTGTAGATAATATGGGTTGCGATAAGTGAAATAATAAAGGTGACCTAGGGAAAAGATAAAGTAGTCGGTACAGTAAGAGAAGGCAGGACAGGTCGTGGGGATTTAGTTTGTATGCTTATCCATTGACAGTGTGGTTTTAAGTTTTATGAGGATAAGCCATTGAGACACAAACCTTGCATTTCTGCATGATTGTCCAGCTTCCGCTTAAAAATCTCCAGAGAAGGCGCTGTAGTCACGGCCGCCGGTAAAGCGTTCCAGAGACGGCAAACTTGAAGCGAAAAGAAGTATGAGCGCACTCGAGTCTTTGGTCTCTGGTGTGCTATCCTTAGCGGGTTACCTCGTGGAAGCCTATAATCACTTAATGGCAGGATGCTTTTATTTGGGTGGGCCTGGTCATTTAAGATCTTGTAGACGGTGATGAAGTCACCCCTGTGCCTACGGTAACTAAGTGTGAAAAGACTTAATTTCTTCAGTCTTTCCTCGTATGACTTGTTGCGGACGCCGATCACCCATTTTGTCGCTCGTCTCTGGACATTTTCTAGAATGTTTGCATCCCTTTTGGGCAGCGGAGGTGCAATGATATTACGCACCTCAAGGTGTGGCCTCACATATGTCTTACATAACCTTAAGAACAGTTCGGGAGTAAGAGCTCCCAGCTGCCTATGCATAAAGCGTAAAGTTGCGTAGGCTTTGGCGACGTCCCTCGCGTAATCTCCACTGGTGTCTAGCTTTTCTGTTAGAATAAGACCTAGATTGCGCTCTGATGGAACACAACTCAAGTTGTGGCCACCAAGGGTGTAATCTACACTCTGTGACCTGACCGAATGAAGTTGCACTACTTTGCACTTCTTTAGGTTGAAAGGCATTCCGTTAGCCAGAGCCCAGTCTCCTAGTGTTTGCAGGTCAGCCTGCAATCTGTCTGAGTCTTCCGATGAGTTTATTGCTCTCCGAATCTTTACGTCGTCAGGGTAAAGAAGCGCAGAGCAGCTCAGTTGAGAAGGTAGGTCGTTGATGAAAATCGAAAACATCAACGGCCCTAAGATATAACCCTGAGGAACCCCTGATGCCGAGGTGTGCCAGGATGATCGGATGCGGTTGACTCTGGTGCAGAATTCTCTCTCGCCTAAGTAATCTTTCAGCCATGCAAGAAGTGCTCCAGAAACACCCGCCTTGCTTATTTTGTGAAGGAGCAGAACATGGTGAACTGTGTCGAGTGCTTTCACAAAGTCGAAAAAGATCACATGGACTGGTACCTTTTCGTCCCAGGAGAGTGTTCAATCGTTCCAAGCTAGTAGAAGATTCGTCACGCAGGATCTTCCCCCTCCCGAAACCGTGCTGTGCTTCGTGAAGAAGGTTAGTCCCGTTGAAGTATTTTCTCATGTGGTCGTCAATGAGACTTTCCAATATCTTCGATATCACTGAAGTAGAGCAACTGGTCTGTAACTGGTCGCATTCTGCCGGTTACCACCCCTGAAGATAGGGGATAGGATCACTCGTTTCCATTCACATGGAAGTTTCCCTACATCAAGGGAGTGTTGGAACAGATCGCTTAGGGGTTGGCAGACACTTGCTGAACACTGCTTCAGGACGGATGGCCTGATGTCATCACAACCTGAAGACTTTCCCGAAGCCAACTTTCCCAATTTTACAAGTACCATAGCCGGAGTAATTTGAAATATACTCAGCAGGTTTCTGCGCGTTGGTTTTGCAATGTAATCTTGATGTTCTGTGGGAGTAATATCCTCGTTACTGTTTAGTTGCATGTGAAAGGCTAGGCTGAATGTCTGTGCCATTTCGAGAACAGTAAGAGATTTCCCATCAGAACCCACTAGATTGCATGCTCCCTGGTTGGTCGGTTTTCTTTCAGACATAATCCTGTATAGGCTTTTGGGGTTCACGAGAAGCTTATTGGCGAGGTTTCCGTGAAATGTCCTTCTATCACTCCGGACTCGTATGTTACATCGATTCCTGAGTTCAAGGTACACTTCATGTTCGGGTTGACTCTTCGATCGTCGCCACGCAACCAGGCTTTTTGCTTCGCCTACAGAAGGCGTTGTGTCCCCCTTTTTAGCCATGAACGTTGCTTCCTAGCTTTTGGTGTGACTAAAGGAACAGTGTCTGAGACCGCCTGGTGAATTATCTCCAATATCCAATATCATTTTTAGTGTTTCCAATATGCAGCGTGCCTTTAGCAGCTAGCGTATCCAGAATCACTTTTATGAGCTAATTTTAATCAATCTGAATCTTTTATTCTCTTAATACTTATGCACTATTAGTGGGTATATACTTAAACTCGTCATTTTAATACTTCCCATTCTCCCTTGTCTCGAACTATTAGTTCCCTTATATTATACATGAAAGAATTATTAGATGAAGTCAGTTCATACAAGTAAAATGTAGATTGACTTCGGGATAAATACATTTTATTTATAGGGAATACTGCGAATATATAACTTGGAAATTAATCCACAATCTCAGAAATGTCTACCGAAGTTGGTTTTGCAAATCCTACAGAAATAACACATGCATCTTTAGTAAACCAAAGTTGTCAAATATAAGGTACAACTCAACTCCAAACAGTTATTCGCAGTGTCAACAGCATAGAGAAATGCGTAAAATATTCTAAGTTACACGGACGTATTGAGTATCCAATTTCGTTTTCACAAACTGTTGAACATCAATTTGATTCTTTTGTGCTCACTTCGTGGTTGTAAGTTAAGATTTCTTGGTCTTTAAGTAATTTCTGCATAGTTCACCCAGTCATTCAACTATGGTTGACTCCAAAATTAGTGGTGCTGGCAATGATTACATCGGACTTGTGGTTTCCGGTGTGCTCAGACCACGTCACAACTGTGAATGGAGCTGGTCCTATCACCCAATAGTCATCATGTGTGGTTGATAAGAGATAACCATTGTGATGGCATATATAATTTGTGTAGGTTATGCTGACTTAAAATTCAAAAAATGAAACGTAAATATAGACGGCTAATTAAATTTAAATTGTCACATGTATATATCAGTAGTGATGCCATGGAACCAATAGATGGAGCAGCTAGGAGAGTGAGACAAGGGGGAATGTGAAGTAGTAAACGACGGGCTTAGGTGAGTGTTAAGATGATAAGCCGTTTGGACGCAGTCTTCGTGTCACTGCATGACTGCCCAGTCTCCGCCTAAAGCTTTCCATGTGTGGTGCAGTCGCCACATATGCCAGAAGAGAGTTATTGCGAAAGGTAAATTCAAATTGCAAAATAATGGGAGCGCACTTGAGTCTTCGCCCTGTGGTGAGTTATAATTCGTGGATTGCCACAAAGAAACTCTGACAAACTTAACAGAAGAATACTTTTGTTTGATTGGTCCTGGCCATTCGTAATCTTATAGACATTAATTAGGTCTCCCCCTGAGCCGACGTTGGCTAAGTGTGAAAATTTTTTAGCCGTTCATCATATGGTCTATTTCGGAGACCCGTCACCCCCTTTGTCCCTGTCCTGGAACTATTTCCAAAAACTTAGCTTCTCTTCAAAGCAACAGAGGAGTAGTGATATTGTGCACTTCAAGGTGTAGTCTAACGCATGTTTTATACAACCTCTCTATGGACAAAATGTATAATTGTTTAAGCCCTCACTACATCGGCCATGTAACTTACATTCTTGTCTACTTTTTCGGTCAGAATTATGATTATCGTTACGCAAGGGGTTCCTTGCCCTGTGTGACCTACAGGTCCTAAGTAGCACTGCACTGAATCTGTTTAGGCTGAAAGCCATACCACTGGCCACCATCCACTCTTTCAGAAGCCTTAGGTCTGAATGCAGCCTATCGGCTTATTCCGACAACATCTCGCTCTCTGCATGTTCATGAAGTAACCTTAAAAAGAGCTGGTCAGTTTAGACGACATAGCAGGTCACCGATAAAAAGCAAACCATCAGTGGCCCCAGGATTAGAGTCCTGCGATGATGCCTGGATGATTGGACACGAGTGAGCTCAATATAGAGTTCCCTTTCGTCTAGGCATTCCCCCAAGCACGACAGAAGCAGGTTACTTATATTCATCTGACTTATATTGCGTAGAAGCAGGTCATCGTGGACTGTGTCAAATGCCATCACAGAGTCAAGGAAGATCACATGGACTGGAACATTCAAATCCCAACATGATGTCCATTCACTCCAAGCTGATAGTGAGTTTTGTCACACAGGATACGCCTCCCAATTTACCATGTTGTGCTTCATGGAGTATGTTGGTTCTGTCAAGATGCTACTTGATGTGATCGTCAAACAGACTTCGTAGTACTTCCGACACCACCGGGAGTGCCGCTACTTGTCTATAACTCCCTAGAAGGTGGGAGATAGAATAGCTCTCTTCCACTCCCTTAGCAGTTTCCCTGAATCAAATGAGTGTACAAACGAGTCACATAAGGTTTTGCAGAGAGGTTCGGCGCATTCTTGTAGAACTGGATATCTATGATATAACGAAAACATGCTGAAAGCTGCATCTCAGATCAAGTTGACTCATTCCATGGTAATGATCTCCTCCTGTGTGCCTTATTCGACATATTGAATGGAATGGTTCGCAGTTATTCTGGCACCAGATCGAAAAGAATAAAAAATTCACCGGTTACTGAATCAAAAGTACTTCTCTGCATGTTTAACTGTATTCTAACTGCTATGATTAATTCCAAACCATTTATCCCATAATCACTCAAATTCCAGGAACGATCCAATTCTACCATTTAAAGAAGCTGGCGGACACGATGTAAATGAGTATTCATGATCTGAAATAAAGAAGCAACTGGTTTTCAACATTTTACTCAACTTACGAGTACAGTCCGCCATGCAGACACAAATGGCGCAAATGGGGAATTCTGGAATCGACCTCGGGACCATTTGATGCAGTAAAACAACCCGACATGACCTTATCTAATTATCGCCTCCACGATCAAATTATTTTCCTGTTATGAAACTACGATAAGACTGCTGAAAAATGGAATAAATATATCACTGATCTCAACATAATACATCAATAAACTTTAAGCCAAGGGTGCTGTTCACAATAAAGTTATATAGGAGAATTGACTTCAAGCTTTATTTTTCCCAGATATTTGTATTACATTCATGTGATATCTGGGATTTTGTTAATGCGAAGACAATATTTCTATATCTCTTTATGTGCTACACAAACAGACTTT